ATTACTGCCCAAACCTTCCAGGAATATTGCAAGGGTAGAAATTTGTCAGAAATTCAGGTACACGGTTGTGTAACAGTACTAGAAATAGGACAAACTTTGTCTTTGCAGATGTTACTTCATATACAAATCATTCATATCGTATTAGGTGTATATGTGATGGTAGGAGAAAGCGTTGTCAAATTGGAGCAGTTTGATTGTAGCTACTAAACTTAATGCTTTACATTGTTCATCTTAGGTAGGTTTCTTGCTGCGGTGTGGGAAACAGTGGATTTTTTTCCTGGTTTGACCATTAGGTCACTTTTTCTTGAAACTAGCCAGATAAATCTATCTTGAGCACAATTTTTTCTTTCTTCTAGGAAGATTGGCACTTCCTTTGTTGAAACGTCTAAGTCTGTCTACATCAAAGCTGAACAGCTTGGCTGTTGGGCTATGTCAGATTGCAGCATCTTCACAGGACAGCATCGGCAACATAGTGCGGAGAACACGCATAGCAAAAGATCTAGAGTTGGAGCAGGTGACAGTGCCTGTTGGGGTCCTTCTTGCGATTTTTTTTTTTTGAGTCCCGTCCAGACTGACTGTCTTCCACAGGTATGTGAGGAGGGCAGAGAGATCTTTGATAATGAAAGTGTATTTCTACTGGTGAGTTATTGGAAGGCTACAAGAAGTCTTGCCTCAAAAGACTTCTGCTTGTATTCTTCTGAAATGAATTCTGCTGTCATCCCAATTTTTTTTTCCTACAGAAAACTACAGTCTTCTTGGGACTTGCTTCTGCAATGTTGAGAGTTATTCAGCGTTGGTTTTTGATACCCAACATAGAGAAGGAGTTAGCTTACATTCAGGTGGTGCAATTTCTGCCTGTGTCTTATCACGTAGCTTCCCTGCTTAACTTGCAACTTACAAGGCTCCTACCAATGAGCACTTTTCCGTCCATGCCGACTACAGTTGAATTGCAGGCTACGATTAAACATCAAATGTTTAATATAGGTCATTAATAACAAACTGCAACTGTTAAGAATATATGCTGAAAAAGATCAGCATGAAGTAGAAGTTCTAGGCTTTGAGTAGGCTGTCCCATACTGATACTGCATGTTTGCACTGAGGCAGAATGATATCTTTCCACAAGCGTGTAAAAGCTAAGTCTAGGCTCTTACTGCCAGTACTTTTAGCAAGACTGATTGAGCATTTCTCTAATATATGAGCAAGTATTTGAGGAGCAAGGGATGGGTATGGGCACTTAAAAAGAGACTGCCGAAGGGCAGCTTCATATTTCATAACTGAATTTTGTGAGTGTTTGTCCTCGTTTCGTACTGAAGGGGAGTCTGCTCTAGGCAAAGTTCATATGAAAGGAAAAGGCACTAGTCTCCCTTTCTGCCATTATTGCTTCCTTGCTGCTTGCTCTGTTCTTCACAGAAAACCAGTATGTTTCCTTGCCAAATTCTAGTCTGCCTTCCTAGACTCCAGCCTTTGCCTCCTGGGTCTCTTGCCTTGCATAGCCAAACTCTCCCATTCCCCTCTTCTTTATCTCATTTGTTTTATCAGGCTGATTCTTACTGGCTTCCCACCCTCACCCCCCAACCTTTTTTTTTTTTTTTTTTTTTATACAGACTTAGGATGGCTTGTCTTGTTACTTTCTTCCTGCCAGCTCCCATCCTCAAGTTCTCCAATGTAACTTCAGAGGATCATCTTTGATACCTCTGCATCTGAATAATATGGTTTCTCTCCCATGCTGTAGCTGATAGTAGGATGGGCTCTGAGTGCAGAGGAGAGGTTGCTTCCTCCATAGTTTACTATTGCATCTCATACTGGTTTGGGTAAGCAATTACAGAGGAAATTTGACTTCTCCATGGAGTAGTGTGTGCCTGATAACTAGCTGGAAATAGCATACACGGAATTGAGTCAGTGCTCAGAGTTCAGTCTTGAGTTGCAGTAAAGGTGAAACAATTGCAGACTAAGTTTAGCTTCTAGTGAGCTGTGAAGCGAGTGTGGAGTTCCGATCCGCAGTTCCGTAAGGGGAGCGGCCGCAGACGAACGAAGTGTGTGACAGACCAAAAAAGTCCTGTTTTCACCAAGTTTTGATTGGTGGTGCCCAATATATGGGCCTGGCAGTGTATCTTGTGATCAAATTTTTGCTCTTAAATGCTTTGAGTGTGACAAGAAAAAAGGCGGGAGCATTATCTAAGTAACTAACAGTTTAGAAGCCTTGGCGTATTTGCTGTGGTGTTTGGTCAGTTTCCCAAGTACTGGAGAGGGGGAGGGGGCTGACTGATTATCAAAGTGGTAGAACGAAGAGAGTCATTTCTGTGGTGGTTTGGGCTTGAGCCCTGGGAATTTGGTAAGAAGGGGGAGAGTGAATTTATTTAGGTGTCAATACCTTTTTAAATGGTATTTATTGATGGATACACAGGAGTGATTCCTTGTTTTGTATGGGCTCACTAAGAAAGTGCATGAGAAAAATCGGCATTCGGCTTGAAATTCGGTCCTGTTGAAATATAAATTCTGTGGAAAAGGTGGTAATGTTTGTCTAGAAGACGGAAGGCTGAGTGCTTCAGCTGTTTAAAGTATCTATTGGTAATAGCAGATCATTTAACACAATGGGTAGAAGCTTATCCCGTAGCACGAGCTACGGCACAAATGGTGGTAAAAGCTCTATTAGAACACCTGATACCTAGATATGGGATAATCCAGTACATTGATTCTGATCAGGACACACACTTTACTTCTAAAATAATAAAAGTATTCTGTCAATCATTGGGTATTCGGTGGGAATACCATACTCTGTGGCACCCACAAAGCTCAGGGAAAGTAGAAAGATTAAATCAAACACTAAAACAACAATTGGCTAAATCAATGATCGAGACACAAATGCCCTGGATGAAATGCTTACCATTGGCACTTCTAAACATAAGAACTAAACCACACAGTGAGACTGGATTATCGCCATATGAAATGTTATATGGTATGCCTTATTCTCAAGTGATGCCTCTAGGGAACAATGTAGTTGAGGGTCGTATCATCCAGAAATACGTAATTACTATTGGAAGGAGATTACAAGAGCTAAGAGAAATTGGAATGATGGCTCAAACACCACCTTTAGGATTTGCTAAATCATAAGATAAAACCAGGAGACAAGGTCTTAATAAAAACCTGGAGGGAAGAATCACTGAACCCCCAATGGGAGGGACTGTACTTGTTTTACTTACTACTGAAACAGCTGTGAGAACCGCAGGAAGGGGTTGGACCCACACATCCAGAATAAAAGGACCAGTAACTACCAAAACTTAGAGGGTTGAGTCCGCTCCTGGGGAACTGAAACTAAAGCTAAAGAAGAACTAATATCCTGGCAACAAGACTCTGCATGAATTAAGGATGCCAAATAAAGGGGACAAGCCTGAAGGGAGGAAAGGGAGAAGGCAAGACCGGGGCAGGACCCTCCACTGCGGTGTGTATGGTCTACCGAGGGAGGCGATGGGTATTGACTGCCGAGTGAGAGGGCCTCGACCGGACTTCTCCCACACTAAGGTCAGGTTGTCCCAAGAAAATAACATAAGAACTTTTTTTTTCTTTAAACCCATATAAAATTGTGATTCGTTTTCCAGGAGCTGGATCACCCCGGCAGGTTGAACGGTATCACAAGCCCAAATCGACCCTGAAAGTGGGCCCAACCCCTTGATTGAAGGCGTTTGCCTATTATGATCCAGCTACGTGGGCAGAAGACGGATCCTGGGGCTATAGGACCCCAATATGTATGTTTAATAGAATAACTAGGTTACAAGCTGTAATGGAAATAGTTGTAAATAAAACCGGAGATGCACTTGGATTAATTGCAAAACAAAATACCAAGATGAGGACTACTTATCTACTTATGTATCAAAATCGCTTAGCTTTGGATTATTTACTAGCACAAGAAGGAGAAGTCTGTGGAAAAATTAACCTTAGTAATTGCTGTTTTGTAGATTGGTGATGAAGGTGTTTCTTCCTAGTAGCTGGTAGAATGCTATGTTTTGGCTTAGGATGAGAAGAGTGCTGATAACATGCTGATGTTTTAATTGTTGCAGAGCAGTGCTTACACCAAGCCAAGGGCATTTCAGCTTCTCACTCTGTCCTGCCAGTGAGCAGGCTGGGGGTGCAGCAAGAGCTGGGAGGAGGGCTGGACTGCTCGGGGTTAGGCTGGGCATCGGACAGCTGGGCATCAGCAGTGGTAAGCAATTGCATTGTGCATCACTTGTTTCATACACATTAGTAGTAGTACTATCATCGTCATTATTATTTATTATTATTATTTATTATTGTTATTTTCTTGTCTTTATGTCACCTCACAGGCTTCACTTTCCCATTTCTCTCTCCCATCCCAGAGAGGGAGGAGGTGAGGTGAGTGAATGGCTGTGTGGTGTTTAGCTGCCAAATGGGTTAAACCACAACAGAAAGAAAAGCTGTAAATGAACTTGTAAAAGAAATGAAGAAAATTGCACATGTCCCAGTTCAAATTTGGAATGGAATCGATCTAAGAGGATTATGGGAGGGGGCTTTATGGGCAGTGATTGTTTTGCTAAAATCAGGACGGTTGTATTGGGGATATATGTGGAGAATTGTTAATAATTCCATGTTTAATACCTTCTATTACCAGACTGATACACTCAGTTATACAAGGAATGCAAATATCTGTAGTACCTGTTGTGGGAATAGAAATGTTGTTTTTGCAGAGTTCCGTTGTTTAGAGGGAAGGAACGTGGTACTGAAATATGCTTGCAGTGATAAGAAAGCTTAGCAGGCGACCTTGTAAAATGCAGACAACCAGACTCCTTAGGACAATTAGGTGAAAATCATGGTGTCAAGTCAGACAAGTAAAGAAACCTCTCCAAGCAGTAAAAATGTCAAAAGAAATTTGAAATTTAACAGGCTGGCAACTGAAGGCCATGCATTGTTTGTGAAGCATCGGATAGATTGTGAACCTGGATTACCCAGTCAGTGGGGAAACAGGGGAGGGTCCTGTCAACAAAAAGTATATAAACTGTGTTTTGGAACTAGTAGGTGTGCTCTCCTGCTTGTGGGGCGCCCGCCATTGCAATCGCGAACAAATTACTACTTCACTGAGATCCTCGCCTGAGCCTAAGTTATTGGCTACGGAGTTTCTCACACTGTTGACCCAGAACCAGGGAAAAGAGAAAACCCATTGCCTGATGATGATATAAACAAAAGAATATCCAAAATTGATACCAATTTGGCAAGTATTGACTTGATTGGAAAGGAAAACACGAATCAATACCATGAAAAAGGAGATGGGGGATTGTGAAATATGTTCTTCTGATTCATGTTAATATGGAACAATGCTAGGGCCTCATAATGAAATGTGACCTTCTGTCTTACATCCCCTTGTATAAATAACCACAAGTCCAAGAGAAACAGAGTGGTTAGTGTATATAGTTCTTGTATCTTGCCAAAGAGTGGTCTAGCAGTTCGTGTTGATAGAGGGTTTGAAGGGTAAACCTTGATACTCGCGTCTGGGAGATAAGAGAATAGGGGAGAGTTTTTTGAGATAATTGCTGACTATTGCACGAGACACAACTTTCTGACATCTGGCCCAGAGGCTACTAAATAAGGAGGGGGGGGGAAGGTGAAGAACGACCGAAGGACAAAGCCTGGGAGGGAAGACTACGAGCCTTCAGTACGAGACCACCGGAGACTGATACGTATGCATCCGTGGGATGGTTTGGGTCCCGGGAAACTGATTATAATAACCCTGCCTTTTCCAAAAGTGGTGATGAATATGTATTAGCCTAGGAGCATAAAAACCAGCCGCCTGATGTAACTGGTGTGCGTCTTGGTGGAGCAGAGACTCCCAGCGCACCCAGCGCTGTTTGCTTACCTCTATTCCTTTAATAAATTGTAAACTTTGATTGTAACCCTATTCGGGACTCAGTCATTTATAACAATATACAGTAGCATGTTTGTCTCTAATACTTACAAGGCGAAGTTCTGAGATCATATTTCACAGACTGCTTCCTACAGATTTCAAGAAATCTATTTGTTCTGAAGTATAGCCATGCTCTATTACTATCTAAAGGGAACAAACTGTTTTGAAACCCATTACAGATTGGATTTTTTTTATTTATTTAAATAAGCTTGTCTCTGCAGCTTTCCTTTGTGATGCTGATCTTCGGAGAGGCAGATTCTTAACAAGATACAATCAAACTGCATTTTATTGTCTAGTTTTGTATGTTAAAGACTCACAGTATCTGGGTACAGCAAGGTTCCTAGATACACTAAATGACAAGAATCTTTCTGAAGTATTCCTTATTTTTTCAGTGTTCTTTTCAAATTGTGGACAGCAGGATGAGGTAGAATATCAAACATGGTGACTGTTTTTTACCCAGAGGACGCTAGTAGGGAAAAGGAGTTGGTCTGAGTTGACCTTGACATGCTTAAGGGGTTGGCACATGAGAACCTTGTGAAGTTCAAGAAGGCTAAGTGCAAGGTTCAACACCGTCATCAAGGCACTCCCAAGAATGAATGCAGGCTGGTTGATGAGTGGATTGGGAGCAGCCCTGCAGAGAAGGACTTGGGAGTGTTGACGGATGAAAAGCTCTACATGAGCCAGCGATGTGCAGTTGCAAACCAGAAAGACAGCCGTATCCTGAGCCACATCAAAAGTATGACCAGAAGGTCCAGGGAGGTGATTCTCGCTCTCTACTCCACTCCTGTGAGGCCCCACCTGCAGTGCTGCATTCAGCTCTGGGGACTCCAACATAAGAAATAAATCTGTTAGAGCAGGTCCAGAGCAGGGCCATGAAGTTGATGAGGGCTGGAGGACCTCTCCTATGAAGACAGGCTGAGAGAACTGGGGTTGCTTAGCCTAGAGAAGAGAGGGCTCTGAGGAGACCTTATAGTGGCCCTCTAGTACCTAAAGCAGGCTTCGGGTAAGCTGGGGAGGGACGTTTTGTCAGGGAGTGTAATGACAGGACAAGGAGTAATGGCTTTAAACTAAAAGGGTAGATTTAGATTAGATAAAAGGAAGAAATTCTTTACTATGGGTGGTGAGGCACTGGAACAGGCTGCTTGGTGAAGTTGTGACTGCCCCATCCCTGGAAGTATTTAAGGCCAAGTTGGATGGGGCTTTGAGCAATCTGGTCTAGTGGGAGGTATCATAGAATCATAGAATGATTTGTGCTGGAAGGGAACTTGAAGGTCATCTACTCCCCCCTGCAAGGACATAGGCAAGGACACCTTCTGGTTATAAACGTAAAATCAGTGTGATAAAATAAAAGGCTTCTGTATAAGAGAGCACAAGTAAAATGTTCGTCGTAGGAAGAGCTTATTAGCTACTTCCAGCCAGAATGATTAGGGATAAGAGTTCTTGCATCTGAAATAGTTTTATACAGCTACCGAATTTGTGCCAGAGCCTATGTTCAGGGTTTCCTTTGACTTACTGCAGTCTCCCTTTGCCAGTAGTACCCTGAAGCTCAAGTTTGTTCCTGAAACATTAAGATACTTCATTTCTGGAGTTACACGTTCTGACTCAGAAAAAATTCTTGGTGCTGTATATTAATATTGAGTAAGTCAGCAGAATGCAAAATCCTGTTCTTACTCTATTTTGCAGATGTTATTCTCCCAGAGGAGTCAGATCACTTTGTTGTTGTTGTTGTTGTTTTAATTCCCTTCTGACAGGTGTCTTCTTTGGCCATAGCTAGTGGAAATGGCTTGCTAATAAAAGGAGGGAAAGAGGCAGCATACAGCAATCAAATCCTTCATCATCTGACTCAAGAAGCACTCTCCATTCATGGAGTCAAAGATGCAGTGCAAGTAGTAAGTGTCTAGAATTAAAGCAACAACTTTTGTGCTGTAGCGTGTAGAAAAAGCACAGGCAGAGCTTGAGAATTCAGGCCATTGACTGTTTGTGTCACAACTTTCACATGTGAATACAAGCAAGGAAGTGGAAGATCTCTGCCATTTGGAGAAGCTGATAGATCTAATCATTCCACATGGTTCATCCCAGCTAGTCAGGAATATCCAGAAAGCTGCTAAGGGAATTCCAGTGATGGGACACAGTGAAGGGATCTGTCATGTGTATGTGGACACAGATGCCAGCGTGGAGAAGGCCACATGAATAAGTAAGCTGTGAGAGGGTGACTTGGATACCATGAGTGTAACTGAACTTCACATTTGGAATATGTGGTATGGTTATAATAATAACCATACGTAATAATAATTCACATGCTCTTCAAATTCTTTGTCATAAATGTTATGTAACCAATTGTTTACTCTTAAACCTCAGTCAGAGACTGTGTGAATATACTGCTGCCTGTAATGCTCGGGAAACACTCCTAATTCACTGAGACCTGCTGAGAACCCTGTTGTTTGATCAGATCATAGACATGTTGAGAGTAGAACAGGTTAGTCATTTATACTTGTGTTGGCTTTTGTTTTGTTTTATTTACTTTTTGTTCTTTTTAGGAACCCTTGGTCTTGCTGACATAGCCCTATGTAGTTTTATGATAACATAACACTTATGTTACCCACATGTCTCTTTGTACACCTAAATGAACTTTCGGAGAGCTTTCTTGGCTTCTCCATGCAACCCCAAGCTTTTCCATAGAAACGATCTGGAAGCAGCTTCTTTGGGGTGGCTGCATGCCATTGCTGGGATACAACTACTTTCTTTTACATAGAAAAAAATCATTCTCTGCCTTGGAAGAACATTTCCCCAACCCTTTCTCTACTACTCTTAATTCTGACTTAATGGCTGGCAACCTCCCGGACCCAAATACTATTCTAATTAAATCTATTAACTTACCTTCTTACCTCAGTCGTTTCCCATTTTATGTTTCTCCTCCTCTAATCTGCTTCATCCACATATTTTGAACGTTTTGTCTCACTTGCCTTTATTCCCACCCATTTTCCCGCCCATTATTACCCCCTCCCACTGTTCCACAGGAACAGTGAAAGGCCACTGTCCTACATAATTGCTTTGACATGCGTAATGTTTTGTAGCAGAGATGCATCACGAGAGAAATATTTGTGAAGTACTTAAATTACACTTAAAACATGGATTTTTCACATAGCATTTCCATTTGGCAAATAGTGTATACAAGCAGTGATTGATGCAGGAAAACATGGTAAAATAGGTCATGTTCTGATAATGTTAAAGTCATATTAAGAGAAGCTTGCCAGATAGCTAGTCAGGAGCAAGTCCTCACTCGTTTGTGTTTTCTTTTTGTCTTTTTTTTTTTAATGTCTGGTTTGGTTGTGTTTTGTTTTGTGTTTTTTTTTCATAGAATACCCTGAGTTGCAAAGGACCCATGAGGATTACCAAGTTCAACCCCTAGCTCCACACAGGACCACCCAGAAATCAGACCATACATCTTGGAGCATTGCCCAAACACTTCTTGAACTCCAGCAGGCTCAGTGCTGTGACCACTGTCCTGGGAGCCTGTTCCAGTGCACATCCACCTCTTGGTGCAGAACCTTTCCCTGACGTCTAGCCTGACCCTCCCCTGTCACAGCTCTATGCCATTCCCTTGGGTCCTGTCTCTGTCACCTGAGAGAAGAGATCAGCACCTGCTCCTCCACTCCTCCCTCTCATTGTTAAGGTGTCTTAGCTGCTACGATTAAATTCAGAGATTGATGATGCATTAGATCTTCTTCATCAGGATCGTAAAATAACTGAAAGTCCTTGCCTTGTTTTGGGCCCAGTAACTCTTTTGTGTCTGAAACATACACTTTGGAGAGGGCTGGTGTCAGTTTACAAAAGAAAAGAATAAAAACAGGTAAAGTCTTTTGTAGGGGAGACTTGCAAACCTGGAAATATCTGCCTTCCTCGAAACTCCCCTCCCCTCATTTTATATTGCTGACTTTGACATTATATGGCATAGGCTATCCCTTTGGTTAAGTTTGAATCAGTTGTGGTTATGTGCTCTCCTAACTTTTAGCAGACCCTCGACCTTCTCACTGTGGGGGGAGAAGAGAAAGCCTTGGAACTGTGTGAGCACTGTTTAGCAACAGCCAAAACAGTGGTTTGTTTAAGGCAAAAATCCAAAATGTAGCAGTATAAGGACTGCTATGAAAAAAATTAACTCTATCCTAGCTATACCCAGAACAACAAGCTGCACTTTTTGCCTGTTATGCATTGGTACAATCTACAGCACAAAATACTTCTGGTATTGCAGGTGAAGATTCATGCTGGCCCAAAGTTTGCCTCTTACTTGACATTCAACCCCTCAGAAGTGAAATCTCTCCACGATGAATATGGGGATCTGGAGAGCTGCATTGAGGTTGTGGACAGTGTACAAGAGGCTGTCGAACATATCCACAAGTATGGAAGTTCTCACCTGGATGTTACTGTCACGGAGAATGGTTTGTGACCAATCTGTTCCCTTAAGCTTCTGCTTTGGTTTCACTGTGGGATCTTGTTATTAGCATAACTACTTACATTGCAGTAGTTTCTCTTATCTTGGTTCTGTAGTGAGCATAATCAGCTGGAACCCTATGAGCTAAATCTATCTGTAGTTGTGTTTAATTCAAGGAAAACATGTTGTGTGCCCTTATTCCAGGAGGTGAAGGCATGTGTTTGAGCAACTGGCTAACAGCAAGTCAACGCATGCTCTTGTCAGGCAGATTGCTTTGTGTTCCTGTATTGTACAGACTTACCACATCAGACAGTTTTGCAGAAACATCTCCTGAATCCTGGAGATGTCTTTAGGCCTCCGAAGGAGGAAGAGGTGAGCTTCTATAGAGGGAATATGGATTGTAGGAAAGATCAGACTATATACATTTTGTCTTCCCAGGTCGCTTTTAAGTCTTGCAAACAAGGACCACAAGTGTTTTTCCCCATCTCTCCCAGTCCTTTATTTCCCAGTTCCGCATCTGTACCGTAAAAGCTGCATGTATCTCAGTTCCCAGTTTCTTGCTCCTTTGATGCCACAAACTTCTGTTTCTATGTGCCACTCTGTGCTTCTTCCACTCCTCTGCATGAGGTTTGAACACTCTGCCACTTCAAAACGTAGCTAGAACTGCTCCCAGCCAAAGGATGACTCTCAATACAAGGCTAAAACTTCTGAGAGTCAGCTACAGTAAGGTCATTTTGATTTGTGGCTCATCAGTGTGAGATTCAAGCAGGCATCTGTTTCTGTACCTTCTGCAGAAATTAAACGAGTAGCACCGAAAGGCATGCATTTGATACTGTAAGCCACTACCTGGTGCACTAGTGATTTACTTGGGTGTGTACTGGAGATAGAGTTCATCTTTAGCATTCGTCCCATTGCTCTGGGCAACTGACTTGCAGCTTACAGCCTTACAGAGAAAGGCATCCTCCAGGGTACTAAGGCTTGTACAACTCTGCTTGAGGTTGCTCCAGTCTCGCATGTTCTGTGTTGAACTGGGTTAGTTAGCTGACTTCATGTGGTGTTTCTGCATTCTCTTTCCCAAATACTATTTTCAGTATAAACTTAATATAGGACTTTCCATTAATTTCCATTAATTCCATTATTATAGGACTTTCCATCTGGAACAGTTCCATGTATCCATTGAGATAATGTAGAGCTGAACATGTAGTTTAACTGTCTGACTGCAAAATGTAGCTTGGGGGTGCTGTCACTTCTTCCCAGTCATACAACTATCCCTGTTTGCGAGGTCTAGACTGTAGTAAGAATTAGGCATCTTTTCACTTCTTGTCTTTGCAAGCTTCTTGTAATATTTACAGTTGTGTCTATGTGATAAACATATTACGAAGAAGGTGGGTATGAACATGCTTTAATCCAGGCTGTTAAATACTGTCTGATAATGTTGCAGGTGAAAGTTCTGGTATTGTATCTCTTCACGGTATGAGGCTGTGCCTATTGGACTGCATGATCACTCTGTACTGTATCCTATTTTCTTCTCTGCCTCTTTTTCAGAGAAAACAGCGGAGTTCTTCCTCCAGCATGTGGACAGTGCTTGGAATGCCAGTAACCGATTCTCTGATGGATAGAGATTTGTACTCTGTAAGTGCCTGTGGTGTGCAGGCAGCTAAGCACCACAAAGCCGTTTGCTCACTCAGCAGTGTGGGAGGAAGGAAAGACTGGACAAAACTGAGTATCAGTTACCTAAGTAAACAGGTGCACATACTAGGAATTGCAGAAGACAAGGGAAACATTAATTCCTGAGGTAGAAACTACTAGAAATCGCTGTAGCAGGCTTGAACATGCAGTGCTCTGTGTGTTAAAAAATTGTGTTTAGGGTTTTATAAGATCACGCAATAGTCTCTTTAAGAAGAGGAAAAAAAAAAAGGATATAAGAATGGAATCCTGACTAATTTAGTTCTTATTGTTCAAAGGGTAAACCCTCAAACAAATGTACGATGTATGTAAGACACACGTAGCTTTCTGGCTTCTTTCTCTCTAAAAGTGAAGCTGAAACAGACAGAAGTATAAACATTCCAATTTAGAATAAAGCTCCTCTGATCAGAACAGGTAAAAATAACTTCTGACACTTGGGGAGGAGTGAAGGAAGGGAGGTCACACTGAACGACTGCTTCTACATAAAGATGCAGGGCTATATAGTACAAAGTTGAATATCTTCTGAGGATCAACTACCTTTACCTTGTGTGTTTTCTACAGGTGCTGAAGTTGGAATTAGTACTTCTCGTATCCATGCATGCGAACCAGTGGGAATTGAAGGACTCTGAACTACAAAGCGGTTACCGAGAGGGGACAATCATGTTGTTTCTGACTTCTCAGAGCATGGGAGCATGAAGTATCCCCATGAAAGCCTACCTCTCCCTCAGAGAAATACCGAGTACATTGAGAAAACTCATCAATAAAATGTTTATTGAAGACGTTCAGGCTTCAGGGTGCTCTTTGGGGAGAGAGATTTGCTTTTCAGCTCCAGGATCATTGTTCTTGGTCATTGTGCAGTACAATGAATATGAAGTGATCCCATCCGTGACACGCATTATTTGTTGCTGTCTCTTACTGTTTCCTTAGATAGTATTTGCAAACTGACCTTGCTTTTGCCAGAGAGGTTTCTTCAAAACATACAGATACCATAAGGAAAAGTTGAAATATCTGCTGCGTTCTGTTCATGCCCTTGCTCCCCTCCAGCAAAGATGCCTGGTGGTAGAGTGTAATTTTTTTCCCTGTCTTTAATCTGAACACCTGTCTTGGTGAACAAACTTGGTAGCTTTCCTTTAGTCATGTGATCACAGCAGCTCTTGAGAGCTCTAAAGCTTTAAGACACTTACTATCTTTGTTTGATCACTCTGATTCCTATGCATTTGGAACGTATATTTCATTAATGTTTTGACCAAGCTACCTTTTTTATCTAATTTCTTTGTATATTTGACAACTGTAGATAAATAACGCAACTGTATACAGTGTGAATTTTGTTACCTCTGTCCACCAGACATTTATTTCTCATGGGTTTTCTATGAAATGTAATCCCTCCAAACCCATCATCCAGATGCAATACTACCTTGAAGTTTAAAAGAAGCTCTGAATAAATGCTGCCTTTTGCGTACTGGAACAAAGGAACTCACGTGTGCATGCTGCAGCCAGGGCTCAGTGCAGCCCTCCATAGGTCAGGGTGTTTGGAGTGTCAAGGTGGATGGGGAGGGAGTGGAATGGTGCCACACTGCAAATGCTGGCAGGGCAGGGAGTGGGATGGGTGCAGCCTGCACAGGGACATTCTCTCCTGTGCATCCGTTTCTTGCTGCTAACTTGCCTCTGCATGCTTTGTTGACTGCTGGCGTGTGCGTGGTACTCAGGAGCCAACATAGTGGCACACAGGACCTATCCGGGCATCTGGGTGTCTGCTGGGTAGCCATGTTATCGCACTCACCCATTTAGGACCATTGCACTCTACTCTGCAACCCTGAGAAAGCCATTATGCTTCACGCTCCTATTGTGCTTCTATGCTCTCCTGAGACTTTGTGACAACTGCTTGCACTGCAACCACAAATGGTACTGCCCATCAATGATAAAAGCACTGTACTGCAGCACCCAGTACTGCATGCCTGCAGTAGCGTTCCCTGCAATTCCTCTGTCCAGCTACCGCTGTTACTCCTTCCTCTGTCCCACTCATCTCTTGATCTTTTTTGATTCCTCTGCCCTTCTCAGTGTCTGTTTTCCTCTATCCTTTCCCCTGGTCTCATAACATCTAATCTAACTCCCCTCTTTTAGTTTGGAAACTTCCTTGCCCTGTCATTGTCTCTCTGAACAAAAAGTTGCTCTCCAACTTTTTTTATAAGCCACCTTTAGGCACTGAAAGGCGGCAATTAGCTCTCCCTGGAGCTTTTTCTTCTCCGTGATGAACAACTCCAGCTCTCTTGGCCTGTGTTCAGAGGGGAGAATCCCCATCATTTGTTCTAACTTCCGTTGGGTTAACCATTTCCATTAATGAGGGAACGGTTAAGGCAATTACTCCACAACTACCCAAAGCAGCGATAGTGAGAAGCCCACATCCAGCATCCATTTCCCATGCAGGGACAGATGGACACCGCTTGATGTCTTGCCCCCCAGGAGAAGGGGAGTCGCTGTGTGTCCGTGTTTTTTTTTTTGTTTGTTTGTTTTCTTTTTTCTGCGACTGATATTATTACATTGTTTATTTACATGTTTTTGTTTTTGGCGTGTAATCTGTTATGCTCCTAGATTTTTCTTCCTGTGTAAAAGAAAGGTTGAGCTACTTCCAGCTGAAAAAGTTTCGGTTACTTGCTTGATCATATTGTTCTTTCAATATTCAAAGCTGAAGCAAAAGCTGCTTCTAGAGAAACACCAGTTCTGTCACTAGAGTACAACGCTTTCTCAAAAACATGACAGGCCATTGGCTCAGGGTAGCGATCATGCAGCTTATCGGTCACAGTGCGCACAAGAGCATCAGGTCCCCGTCTCATCACAGAGCCTATCCGTGGTGTCTCCACTCCACTCTGTGCCCCATCCCGTTCCTTAGAGTCAGCACATGGAGATCCCCTACTGCGACAGCATGTAATGTTGGAGGCGTTGGAAGTCCTGATCCATCCATTCGGAGCAGGAGACTGTGTTTTGATGCAAACGTGGAAAGAATCAAAGCTGCAACGTGAGTGGGAAGGACTGTTCCAAGTGCTCCGGACTCCTGAGATGGCAAGAAGAACGGCTGAGAAAAGTGCCTGTTCCCGTCCTGGTCTCCATTCTGCCAGCCTGCTCCTTTTCATTCCTTCTTTCTGATTCTTTATTGATGACATAACTTCATCACATCGTGTTGCCTTCCTTTTTTTTTTTTTATTTTGAGGGCAGGCTCCCCTCTTATACCCTTCTCTCCACAGCAGTTCTTTTCAAAACAACTTTTCATTGGTCAAACAACTTTGCAAATAACAGTAACAGTAAACACTCAGAAACTTCCATGCCTCAATGGCTGGAGAACAAGAAACCCGAGACTGCATGGAGTCTCCTGAATCACCCTTCTTTGTTCCCTCTAAACTCTTTTACATTCCTGATGGCCTCATCGATAAGAGTGTAGTGTTATCTCAACCACGGGGCTTTCCAACCCCCATAGCCACCCTCCCAAATCTTCCCCTTCTTTATTAATATCAACCCTTTTCTTGACACGAATTACCACTCCATATATAACACTTCCAATTAGGTGGTAAATTCTTCCTTGCCCTCCCATCACCACATAGCCACCAATACCCTATACCTAATTTTCACCCACTTTCCAAAGATCCATCCACTCCAGACTCCTTATCAGGGTCGTCTGCTACTTGGATAGTAATATTACAAAATGACCTTAAATTGGCTAGATTATATCCCCCTACATTTACTGTTTTTGAACAGTCAGGTTCCCGACCAAAACTAAGCCCCAGATCATGCAAGATCTTTTGTTCGCTGCTATCATTGTCCCCCATACACCGACTTTTAACAGTAACATTTCCCGTGCTTGTAAAGCAAATTTCGGTCCCTCAGGAAGGGTATAATTTACCCTTTCCATTCCTCAACATTTAGCGGACCGCGTCTGATTATTATATAATGCATTAGTCCAATTTCTGGAGGGTATCCCATATAGCGGGATTTCCATATTGCCCCTCGGAAGTGCAGTACATATCCAACAGTCAGATAAATTTAAAGATTGGGCAACTTTTTCAGGTATGTTTACATACGAGTTTTCCTTCCATGCTTGAGCTGATACAGTAGTTACAAGCAATGTCCAAAGTCTATACGTGTTGCCTTTTCAATTTCAACTTATTGGGTCCCGTCATTTCAAGTGTCCATGGACCGTGCGTTGACTTCTTGATTCTCGTGTGGTGAATCCAAGTAGGTTGTTCTTTAATTTTTACTGCGGTGTATGGCGTAAGCAGCACCTGAAAGGGTCCTTCCCATTGGGGTTCCAAAGTTTTTTCTGCAAGAGACTTTACATATATACATGTATAATCTCCAGGTTGTAAATTGTGTATAGGTCTATCCAAAACCCTACTCCGGGTTCCAGCTACGTATTTTCCAATTTTGTCTAATTGTTTCCCTAATGCCACCATATAGGATGTCATAATTTTGTCTCCTGCTTGTGCTGACATCCCCTTCTGTATTCCATAGGGTTGTCCATACAGGATTTCAAAAGGGCTCAGTCCCTCCTTTGCTCTTGGCCTTGTTCGTATGCATAAGAGAGCCAAAGGAAGAGACTGAGGCCAGGCCAGATTCGCTTCCTGTCCCAACTTTACAATCTGTTGTTTGATCAAGTGGTTCATCTTTTCTACGTGGCCACTCAATCGAGGGTGATATGGGGTATGAAGTTGTCAATCTATACCTAGATGGCGGCTGATTTGTTGCACTATTCTTGAAATAAAAGGCGGTCCCCTGTCAGAGGATATAGTAGCTGGTACCCCAAAACGTGGTGTTATTTCCTGTATTAGTATTCTTACCACTTCCCTAGCCTTGGCTGTTCTGGTAGGAAACGCCTCTGGCCAACCTGAAAAGGTGTCTGTTAATACCAACATGTATCGGTTCCCCCCTTTTCTTGGGAGTTCCAAAAAATCAATCTGCCATTGTTGTCCAGGCCCATTACCCTTTCCAATTTGGCCTATCCCTAATTTTGGAGTATTTTGGGGATTAGTCTGGAGGCAAAGGTCACACTGCTGAGTCAGTTGTCTCACAGTGGTTCCTTGCTACAATTTCTCTGATCCAATGTTTATATAAGGCTTCAATCCCCCAGTGCCTCTTTCTATGTTCCTCTCTTATCAAGGGCCATATCATATAAGAGGGAATAATCATTTTCCCTTGGGGTAGAGACCAACCTTCCTCATTATAGGAACCTTCTAGATCAGTAATTAATTTCTGATCTTCCTTGGTATATTTGGGCTTATCTTCTAGGGAGATTTGACCACTGGGGATCAGGGCCCCGTCTGTTTTTACCTCTGTAGCTCACTCGGTGCTTACCTGAGCATAAAGTGAAGCATCCAACTTGCCCCTCTCCCTCTCTGAAGCAAGAGAGCTGATGGCGTTGATGCAGCGGCCGAGATGCTGTGACAGCAGTGCTAGGTTCTTTTTGCTGCAAGGAGAGGAGAGAAGGTGCCCGTTGGAGGCTGGCACTAGGAGCAGTGCCCAGATGCCTGACTGTAGATGTCAGGGCCTGGGGTCACCAGGTGGGACCCGTACTGGGTGGGCAAGGCTTGTGTGGAGGCATCTTCTCCCTCTCCCATGCTGCTGAGCCAGGGATAGAGGGCAGTCATGGCATGCAGTGCACAAAGCCCTTTCCAGCTCCTGCTTCTCTCCCTTCAGGGAAAAAAGCCGGGAAGGGAGACAATGGAGAGCACTGGGCAGGTTGCCGGCACCACTGGGCAGCTGAGGCCTGCCTCAGGCAGCAGGCATTGAAGCCA